CTTGAAGCTCCAGTATCTAATGTTAGCTGACTGTTTTTCCCATTTACTTGACCGTCTATCACCAGAGTATTTCCATCGCTAGTTTGCTTGATGTAGATTGTTGGGGTTATTCCACTACCGGCCAGCGCCCACCCCGCAGCCCTGGCTGGATTTAGTTTCCCTGCTGGTCAGAAGTTGAGACCGCCGCGTCCTGGCGGTTCACCTTCTTCGGGCAGTCGCTCCGCATGTGCCCACGCTCTCCGCATCCATAGCACATGAAGTTCCGACGGCGTGGAGGTACCTGCTCCGTTGTCGTCATTTCCCGCAGACGTAAGGTACGGGAGTTACCACGCACGGCTTCCACTTCCAATGCATGGGCCAGAGCTTCTTTCATGTTCTTGTGATGGCCCAGATGAACAGCAGCTCGTACTTCGGGGTCCCGAACACCGTCAATGAATGCTTGGAGAAGCGTGCCTTCAATCATTGATGGAGTCGACCGAAAAGCTCGACGCACAAGTTTCTCGATTTCCACGGACCATTGCTGTAGACTCTCATTAGCACGCTGAGTACGCTCTTTTAATTGCGCTCTGTACACGTGCTCGAGGTGGCTGTCTCCAAAACGTGCCTCAAGTGCGTCGAGGAGGGTACTAAAGCTGAGATCCCCACTTGCGCCGATAGCTTCCAGCACTGAGAGCGCTTGATCACGGAGGGCCAGGGTGAGGGCTGACTGTGCTTCCTTCTGAGTCCAACCATAAGCCTCCATAAGTGTCTCAAACTGTAGCTTGAACGCGGTCCAGGATGTTGTTCCGTCGTAATGGGGAATCTTGAGCCCTTTCGTTGCGCTTGAGGCCGCATTTGGGGCGTCAAAAACGGCTGCAAGACGGCTTCGGCTCTTCAAAGGGCTTGGGCTTGTCATTTCCTGCTTGATTTTGGAGATCTCTTCTTCCACTCTCTCCTCTATGGCCATGACGCGATGTTCCAACTTGCCTAACCCTTCCTCCACTTCCTGTACCCGTTCGACAGCCTTTTGCAGTCCCTTCGTGAAATCCTTATGCATCTCTTTCAGCTCCCGTAGCTGCTCCGCCTGACAGTGTGCTTGCTCCCGTAGCTGTTCTGCCTGACAGCGTGCTTGCTCCTCTTGGCGGCGCGCTTGCTCTTCTTGGCGGCGCGCTTGCTCTTCTTGGCGGCGCGCTTGCTCTTCTTTCAGCTCCCGCAGCTGTTCTGCCTGACAGCGCGCTTGCTCTTCTTGGCGGCGCGCTTGCTCTTCTTGGCGGCGCGCTTGCTCTTCTTGGCGGCGCGCTTGCTCTGCCATCATTTGCTGCAGCTGTAGCAGAAGATCCACCTGCACAGGCTTGGCTTCTGCATCGCTGGTTTGAGCTGCAGCACCCTCTTCCCTCACACGCTGCGCTTCTGACATTGAACGGGTACTCACTCCTCTTACGTCCTGCGGCACTAGCGGCATTTTTCTCCAATCCCACTTCTGACACCAAATGTTACGTGCCTGACGTCACGTTCCTGACTATGCGGGCTTGGGTTACGGGATTGGATGAAATGAAACACTAACACCGGTTTTCAGACTTTCTATTGCACTTAAGTTACAGCGTCCACGGAGTTAAGTTATCGGCGTTCCTCTCCAGCAGAGTCCGGCCGACTGACACAACTCTGCCGTTCACGCTGACTTAACTCACTTAACTGACTGCACTTCACTATTTCACTGCACTTCACTATTTCACTCACTTTTCTTCTTTCTCACTTCTTCCTTTTCTTCCGAATCGCTTTAGACTTAGAACTCAACTGCCAGCGGTGAGCCGCAGTTCCGCTTATATACCCCCGGTCAGGTTCTAGATCATTCAATTTCGTTATTCTTTTTTGATCGTCATGCCTCCAGAATCTTCCAATAATTTCGTTATTCATTTTTATTTATTCTTCTTCTCGCTCCTTAATTTTTCATCACTTTCACTCAAATATTCCAGAAAGTTCGACAAAACTTCCATCAACTAAAAAACTTCATGTTTACGGCGGGACTCGAACTCGGGGTCTCTGTGGTGTAATCCACACGCCTTACCGATTACACCAACTCGTGTTGACAATTCACGACGAAATTTACAATCTCTAGGCAACGTTTGACAACCATCCATTGACGTCATGATGTCAAAGAGTTTTCTGTCACAATACGAATTATAAAGAATTTCGCAGATAAAAAGGATGTCGTCATTTTTAAAATAGGAATATTATATAATAGTTACGGTATTGGAAATAGGTATGGTGTTATGGAAACATAAATAAAACACATCAATCGTTCTTGACAATATTTCAAAGCTAAACGTATCATTATTGTACCATGTTGTTACCAAAATAAAACCTTCATTTATCGTTTTAAAACGTACTTACAAAGAAATGGTTCATAAAATATTTACTCCCCTTTGTAAGTAATTAGGTGTTCATTGTTGCTGAATTTGCTGATTAAAAGCAATAACAAAGAGGTTTTATAATTCATTGGGTCTCTGTGATTCAGAGTGCCATTAATAATGCTCTTTAATTTCATAGCACTAAGTGGCGCGGCCGTCTCGCCTGCCAGTAATCGAACAACTTTAAACAATGAATACGAATATACTAAAACTTGCTTAAAATACTTTATAGAAGTACGAAAGTTGTTCTGTTTTATCTATGTTGTATTGGTCGGGATTTTCAGTTCGTATTTGGTTAAAATTTTCTGGGAATTTGTAACTTACTTGATTTGATTACAAAATATTGAAGCTACAACAAATTTTACTGTGTGATAGGATCTTAATTTTTTTTTTTTTTGGATAACAAAGAGTGTGCTATTTTTATAGTAACCTATTTAGACAATAGTTTCACTTTTCGTTTGCCTATCATTGGAAAAGAAATAAGAAAATCATGTGTTTGTATCGTATTCAACCACTAGCACAGTAAAGGAGCCGTTGTAACTGTTCTATACAATTATATGCAACAACAAAGAACAACAATGACCTACAGATAATCCAAAACACACTCGCTTATTATTGACAAAACATTTTTTGATAAAACACGCAACCCTTTCATCAAACTCAATCATAGTAGATCCACTCTCTAGAGATTGTTTAATATCAGGAACATTCGGTGTAATATCAACGTAATACAAACTATGAGTGAAATGGGGAGAACTCACGTCGTAGGGTGTAAACGGGAGAGAGGAGAGGAGAGAGGGGAGAGGGTAATAGTTCATCATCCGATAATAGCGGGATTAACACGAATCCAACCCTTTGTGGGCGGCTTGTAAAACTTCACCAAAACATTTGTCCGCACTGATTATAAATTATTTATTCGTCCTACATTTAATATTCGCACTGTGAATACATTATTGGTTTCGCTCTCTTTACCCACAAAATGTGTGATTTTATCATATAAATATGAAATTCATGTTACTATTTTATTTTCGTGTTTGGTTCGTGTTATTCTGTTGTTTTATTACTGAACGTATGTATGCTTTTTTATGAGATAGGACTGCAAACAATCTGACGGATTACCTACCTGATGGTAAGCTATTGAGACTGCACGGTTGGTGCGGTGGCTGGGCAACTGGCTGCCGTGCAACGTGTCGCGGGTTCGATTTCCGCACGGAACAACACTTTGTGTGATCCACAAATTGTTGTTTCGGGTCTGGGTGTCATGTGTATGTTTGTAAACGCACCCACAACACAGGAGAAAATCCTAAAGTGGGGCAACGTTTTTTTTAAAAAAAAAAAAATTATAGCCGCCGAGGAGTTATGAGTTCGTTGCCAGCCTTTTAGGAATTAGAGTTTCAGAGATTGGGGAAAGGGAAGAAGGATTGGACCTCCGGTAATTACACACGATGAAACACAAGAGTTTTCTGTGAGGCCGTAGTAAGTTTCTACTTTTCTCGGGCCTATTACTATATTTCTTTCATCTCATAAGAATCGTAGTTCTGTGTATTCATAGCGCAGATGCAGCTTTAAATTGTTTTTAGAAAGATTACATTTTCATTCACAATAAAGAAGTCCATTGTAACTAATCAATTATTTAATTAAATATAGAACGGACATAATTTCGTCATACAACCGAATTACTAAGTAACGAGACGCTTGCAGACAAGGTGATGCAACTGATGTAGGTAACATTTGACACTAATATACATAAATACGCGTAACTTCTTAAAATGCCGGTATAATTATACAGTTCAGACTATTTTGGTATTGCGGGTGTCCATGGGCGGCGCAGATCGCTTACCATCAGGTGACCCGTCTGCTTGTTTTCCTTCTATTTTCATTATCAGAAAAAAGGCACCGTATACATATGTGCTTATTTCGGTACAAAATAAAAAATAACGTTAAGACTCTCTATTTAGTGTAAGATACATTCCTTACATAAAATGTATTTTAAAGGTAGGTACCGCTAAGCTAAATCTATAGCTTAGTGTGTAATAACCCCTTAGAACAAGTTGTGAGCAGACAAAAGTAACTTAATATATTCCCATCACACATCTGAAGCCCCCTCAGTTATCGTAACAACTACTTTCACGATCAACTCTGTCAATTTATATTTGCCTGCAATCATTAAAGTAGGCGTCGACACGTTTGGCTGTTTTGCAAAGCGGGCACTACACATCGCCAGTACTCGGAGGCACACCCCGCCTCCCGCACTTTGATGTTTGCTGGGTGACGGAGGGGAAGTGGTCCCAATCGTAAGAGTACCGTGATAGTCGAATACTAAACTAGCCGAATGAATAGGTGTCAGAAGCAATGCGTCAGATCGGCCCGCTGGGGGCGAGCGAGACGTGCCGCGTAACCGGACCCACTCGCATCATAATGCTACATAATTCAATTGATTCCCCGACACTACCCGCACGCTTCCTTCTAACTTCGTTTACAACGTTTTGATATCGGATACGCCGTTTTAACGCCTTCTAACAATTCTTTCCCCACTGACCCTTGGTGAAAATAAAACGTGCAAATTCAATTGACTATCTTGTATTTAACAAAATAAATAAGTAACAACATTTGAGCTTCTTATGACTTAGTGGTGGTAAGATACGGCAGGGGAGGAGAAGGTCACGTGGCCAAGGTTTTCAGAGTACGCTACTTTGGCTACGGGAGCAGCGGCGTACGCAACCTTGGCGACGGGAGCCGCAGCGTACACTGGGGTGTGCTGGTAAGAGATTTGAGACGGAGCCTGGGAGTAGGTGACCTGAGCAGGAGCCTGGGAGTAGGTGACCTGAGCGGGGGCGTGCGCGTAGGTGACTTGAGCGGGGGCCTGAGCGTAGGTAACCTGAGCGGGGGCCTGAGCGTAGGTTACTTGGGCTGGGGCGTGGGCGTAGGTGACCTGAGCAGGAGCAGCAGAGTAGGCGACCTTGGCTACGGGGGCAGCGTACGCGAGTTTCGCTACGGGAGCAGCGTAAGCAATCTTGGTGGCAGGGGCAGCGTAGGCGAGCTTGGCGACGGGAGCAGCGTAGGCAAGCTTGGCGACGGGAGCGGCGTAGCCGAGCTTGGCGACGGGAGCGGCGTAGGCGACCTTGGCTGGAGCTTGTGCGATGGGGGTACCCTCGTAACGGACGACAGCGTTGAAACCGTGCTCGTCATCAGCAGTGTAATCAACGATGCGGTGTACACCATCAGGCTGCACGAGAGAGTATGAGCCGTGCACGGCGTCACCAGAGCGAGACTCCTGTTGTTGTTTCACGTCACCGCTTTGGCTGTCGTGGACGGAGTATGTGTATTCGTATTGAGCGGGTGCTTCGGGCTGAGCGTATGCCAGCTTAGCGACAGGCACCACGGGGACGGCCACAGCAGCGGCAGCAGCCACGAGGGCGGAGAAGGTCAGGAACTGTAAAATATAAGCTCGATAATTAATTTATACGATCTAAGTTTAAAAGAAATAAAACAATTTTCTAGAAGAGCAATCACTGTAATGTTTGCACCACACAACTGGTTATGGCGACATCGGATAAACTCCATATTATTTTGAGATATTAATTAAATAAATCTAGTTTAATGGCTGATTTTTATGGGTTTGCAATCGATTTACAAAATCAACTTACTCTGGCAGCCATGTTGTCAGGTTTGTTTGTGGGTGACGAGTGTGCTACTGCTCGGTAGCAGAGAGCTTTTATACTAGAAACATGTGTTGCGTATGCATATGAATACATACGTAGAGTATACGTGTAAACAGGTGTAGTTGCGCCTACTTGATGCCCGCGGCGGAGGCGAAAACTGGATCGATGATAGCGACATGATAAGGTTATGTAACACATTTCAAGTTCAATTACTTTGTTTACATATCATGAGATATTAGAATTTTGTTAGTTTAAGCATGAGTTCAGGTTGGGTCAGATGTAGTACTGAGCCCTTTTTACGTGGTTGTTTTTTTTAGTCCAGAATATCATATAATATCCAGAGATGGAAAAAGGAAACGAGGAAGACAACTCAAAAGATGGGAAGACGAGCTAAAACTTACAGCGGGCCCTTACTGGGGAAGGGTTACCAGAGATAGGATACAATGGAAAATGTCAGAGGAGGCCTTTACCAGAAGGCACACTGAACTAAGGGATATCCTCTAAAGAGGAAAACAAATACCTCACACAAAACAAATAAAGTTCAAGATAGAGGGCTTATTGATAGGTTGGTTGATCATATAATATACAAAAACAACAGTATGATCTCGTTACTCCTGAAGTTTCAAATTGCTTTAAAAGTAAGTAACCTACACAAAATTCAAAATTTTGCATTAGTTATGTTGTAAATATCGCGTTACTCGTGATTTCTTAATTATTTATCATAGGCTTTATATATTAGAAAGCAAACGTTTACTATAGATAAATGGTTGTCAAATTGTCTCTGTATGCTAATCACCTTACTAAAATATAATCAGTTGATATCAATAAACCAACAATGCAACTGGAGTCACGAACAAAATTCTAAGCGTTTATCTTTCTCATCTCTAGATATAAATGAATAATTGCTACTTAAACAGTATTGATACTTGTATTTTTTTATAATTAGTATGTTTTTATAAAATTATATAAGCATATTCCTGTTGACATTTTTTATGATTTTGAGACTGGGTGTGATGTGTTTGTGACATTTTATTTATGTTTGTAAATTCACTCATAACAAAGAAGTAAATTTAAGTGTACAAAAACGTTTTTTTTTTATTTAAAGTTAATAAAAAACATACGTAACACTTCAGAAGCCGAACATCATTATATGCTTGTATAATAATATTGTTATTACGCGTATGCATATTGTCCATTCATTATCATTACAGCTTATAAGCGACTGCAGAGCAAAGGCCTCTCCATACACGGAGAAGGTTTGAGCATGAACGACTACGCTTGCTCAAGACGGATTGGCGATTTTAAACTTATAATTAGAAATTATACGTCCAGGTTTCCTCACGATGTTTTCCTTCTCCGTATGTCAGTGGTGTTTGAATCATAGAAAGTACATATAACTCGCATAAAGTCATATTGATACTTGCCAGGTTACGAAACCGCCAAAACCTCCGGCGTTGAATTCTCAAGGCATCAAGTATCAAAACCACATCATCCACTATAATGCTCGGTCGTCATGTTACTAATTAGGATTATCCACAGCGTACATTAGAGCGATACCTATCTTACGGCTACTGGGAAACAGTTACCTATCACAATAGAGAATATTAATCAACTGTAAGTAGATCGAAGTTGGTACAATTTCGGCTAATGTAGTGGCTGTATTACATTATGTTTATATAATATTTAGTGTAATCAGACGTCTCTCTTTTGTGTTCATATAAATCATTGTGTCAAATATTTTGAGAACTGGCATAACATTTCTAAATTGGTATAAATCATTACATTGAAGAATTATGATGAAGTTTTGAAGTTGCTTTCTAAGTTTATATTTCATAATTAACTTAAATTTCAAGTTCTTAATAAAACCTAAAAGATCATGTGGATACATCTTTGTGATTTGGCATAATATTTTTGCGGAATGTTGGTACCAGATGGTTCGGTCGTCGGTAACCGTGAATGCTGCTCTTATTTGATGATTATGTGCTCTGTTCGTGGCTCGAAACTAGTCGAGCGGTATCAGAGAGTCAAACTAAAAACTCTCACGGAATTACAGAATACGAATGCTCTAGTTTACCTTGTGTTATAAAACAAAAATAATAAAATTATGGCATCACATATTTAGCATAAATAAAATTTATAACTTTACGCTGATTATACACAGACATTTTTCTATCACTCTTAAAAATTAGCTGTTTACAACGTAAAATTGTAATAAGATGTCATCGTATAACAAATTGTCGATATTTTTACTTTTTACTTATTATTATAAGTAGATATAATCATACATTCACTAAAAAAACTTGCGTAAATCTGACCTACATACCTCATGAATCACTTCGGAACGGATCAAAAGCCTTGTTCAAGAATCCATTGAAGAAAATAATAAGATCAATTAAGTACGGTACGACAATAATTTCCGGTTGTCAGTGTCACCGAACGAGTATCGAATCTTTGACCTTGCCTTAAACGAGACTTTAGCTCTCGTATGCCATTGAATTCACTTTAATTACCTACCACATGTTATTTTTCCCACGAATAAATTAATTGTAGACACTCTTTAGGGAATATTTTTATTGATTATTTTGAAGGTTCCGTAGGCTTAAAATTTTTGTCGTTTTTATTAAAGTTAATTTTCACTGCTAAAAAGGAGAGGATTACTTTAAATTAAAATAAACGCTCACCACAACTCAATCATATTTTTTTTATAATAGACTTGGATTAATTTTCGGAACTTTTAACAACTATTTGTTTGCTTTTCGACTGTCTCTCAAATCCTAACAAACGTAAAAGTTGTTTGCTAGGCGCTTACTATAATTTGAAGACTATTTATATATTATATATTAAATAAATAAGAAGTTTACTTATACATATAATATGTTACTCGTAAGAACTATATTATACACAGTTCCACTATGCGTAAACGAAAACAGAATAGAATGACCGCGAGAGACGGCTTTGGTTCCTCACATACAGAACCCAAGTCCGTAAGTGTAACAGCTAACACAAGAACAGGTTAAGCAGAGTCATTAAATGGAGCTATTACTTACAAGTGATCGCTCTAATTTTTCCAAATTGCTAAACTATTTGCTTACGTAACATTCATACTTGAGTAACAAGCTTTGTTACACATTGGCCAAAATTTATATTTTATCGTTCCTCCGGGGCATGTAGACAAAGCTGCTAATTTGATCGATGTTTGCTGTCATTCTATAGTCGATACTTTTCATTGTTTGTGTTGTTTGATATGTTAATAATAGTTAAGTCGAACATTGTGCTATTAAGAACATAGTGCCATAAAATTACAAAAAAAAATCTGATGTAAAAAAATAATTTAAAGAGTTCCAAAATACGAAATATGACGAACATTACTTATCGGATAAATTCTGTGTTTGAAAATATTAATCTGATTCATTATCATCAACATCTGAATAGTGTTAGTTAGACCTTTTAGGGATTGGGGTTTAGGAGATTTAGGGATTGGGTCGGGTGAGGGGAAGGATTGGGCCTTCGATAACCCCACTCTCACGGCGAAACACAACGCTGTGGATGTCTCACGCCGGTTGAGCCGACCCATTCGTGTCGAAGCATGGCTCTCCCACACTTAATCTTTATCTAAAACACTAACTAAAATTAACTTAAGTCAGAAGAAAATACTGTTCTCTTTGACAAAATGTCTCTCGTAAGCGTTGAACGTTTTAGAATACTTTTTATAATAAAACAACTCGAACTGCCAAATTTAGTTTCTCTACGTTTTCGCAAGGGGCGCTGCTAATGTATGAATGAGAATCAATGTTTCGAAAGAACGTAGCGGTTTCTGTCAAAATTTATATTATTTATATTATAATGCTACTGCATGATAATTTGGTTATTATAAGCCATTATAGATAATTAACGACCGCCATTAAAGGACGGAAGTGTTTATTGGTCAAATGTTGCCGTCCTCTGTGACTTCTGTGACAGATTGAGTAACATTGACAACTTTACTTATTTTTTTATTAAGATAGCTGTATGAACTGAATAGTGTTTTATTTATAACTTAATTACAGTTTGTAAATACGGAAGTTTTCTGTTTATAAATATGGAGTTAAAAATTATATTTTGGTTGTAGCGTGAAAGTATAAAACTTTTCTTTTTCTTAAGAACAGCTTTTTAGTTCTATGCCTTGTTCCCGGGTTCAAAGATGATATAATTTTAAGGCAATGCAATTTTAAATAAATCATAGAATATAAAGTAGAGTATAAAAATAATATAGAATCGTATATATCTAGATTGATTTCTAGATTTTTGAGTTTGGTAAAACAATTGAATCTCTATACGAATATAATAATAATCGACTACAAGATGAATGTGTAACCCAACATTGATTGTTTGTACTAACCGCACAGTCAACTTGATAATCACACTAATTTGTACAACTTAAATCAGCATTAATTGGCACCCTTCAACCAACCAAATTAACTAAAGCCTTGTCAAAACTTAATGAGCCATTATATTGTAATTAGCCACGACAGATTGGCCCTTATCACACAATACTGAGTAATATTTCTATCTCCTAACTAATCAGTAAGTATGGTCACGAGCGAAACAGTTTCACGCTTGATGTCCAATCAATCAGAGATAAAGTACTTAACGTTACACATATTATATTACCATTGGACCGGACCACACCCAAAACAATTTGGTCAAGGCCTTGGTCAACAGTCACCAAACTACTTTTAATTTCTCTAAACCACCCACCGTAAACAGACCCACGAAACAGCTTTTCAAGCCCATCCATGACGGAGCTCGTAGAAAGCGAAAGGTCAAACTAAACTGGCGTCCACTTGTTTCTTCAAATATTTTAATGCATAGTTCGAAATTATTGTTGCAATTTATGTTTTGTAGCAATTATTTTTGTGTCGTATTTAATTTGTAATATTAGATTTATCTCTACATTTAATTATTTGAATGGTAATTTACGCTCGTTCAATTTGCGTATGAATAAATAGTTTGTAATGTTGCATAATTAGCAAGTAGGCGAATATTACTTATATTGTGTTCAACAACAGCAATAAGGGTTTAAGTTAGAACACTCGCATATCTAAAAATAAGTTATCTTTCTGAAAATTAAAGAACGATCAAGTACCACCTCATGCACATCGAATATAATGTAAGTCCTCATGGTTTAATTAAAAGAGTGCCTATACTTACATTTACAAAATACGACACCGGCCAAGAATACTAATTAAAAATAAAAAAAATAATCGCTTCAATAATTTAATATCACTTAATCATTTCAATAAATATAACAGTTTGTTTATAGTTTAATAACAACAGATCTATTGGTGGTAGGAGATAACAGGAGACGAGTAAGTGACATGAGCTACAGGGGCAGCGTAGGCAACCTTGGCGACGGGAGCGGCGTAGGCAACCTTGGCGACGGGGGCAGCGTAGGCGACCTTCGCTACGGGGGCGGCGTATGCTATCTTGGCTACGGGGGCGGCGTAAGCGATCTTGGCGGGTTCAGCGTGGACGGGGGTGCCCTCGTAGCGCACGTTGGCGTTGAATCCGTGCTCCTTGTCGGCGGTGTACTCGACGATGCGGTGCACACCGTCGGGCTGCACGAGAGAGTACGAGCCGTGCACGGCGTCGCCTTGACGCGCCTCCTGCTGCTGCTTCACGTCACCGCTGTGGTCATCGTGCACGGAGTATGAGAACTCGTAGTGAGCGGGCGCCTCAGGCTCGGCGTACACCACCTTGCTGACGGGGACAAGGGGCACGGCGTAGGCAGCTACGGCGAGGGAGAGGATGATTATAACCTGTAACAAAAAATATTTTTTGACTGAATATTTATTAGGAAACAAGTAAGAAATAACAAAAACTGTAGCTACTACAGTTTATATTCAAACTGTACAACAAGGAAAACTTACCTTGGACACCATTTTGGAGTGTAGTTACTGATACAGATATCAATATTGAACTGTAATAATGTATGACTTGCTGCACTTTATATACATCATATTTGTCACCTTCTTATATCTTTGGTGACATACTTTAAGCCCGGGGCACGACAGCCTAACTCACAATGATTGAGAGGTGAAGGTCTGTTTACTACTCATATATTGCTTAAGACAAATCACTTGTTTAGTGGGTTGAAATTTTGAAATTAAACATTATTAAAGTAAAATTATAAATTCATATTTCAAATCAAGAATAAGCTCATTAATAGATCTATTATAAACGTGAATACACTTTTAGCTTAGTGTTTCATGCATGTTTTGCACTGATCAGGTTGCATTATATCCTAAAGGTTGTCTTGAAGAAATCACTGTGCGTGATAAGACCGCCCATCGTACACTCTGTGGTTGTAAGCCTGCTCTTTGTGTCTTAATTTGTAATGTAGTGTACAATAAAGAATATATAAATAAATAAATATATCCTGTATGTCACAACAGGTGCCAGGTAACCTAATGTGTACCCATTATGTTAACGAGTTGTTCTTGGTCTGGATGTTACATTCAGAAGTAAATCCAAGATTTGCATCACGTTTGCACAAGTTAAGAAAAAAGAAAATTAAGCTTTAGAGAATTTTCAATCCAGAAGTAAGTTGATATTTTGAAAATCATTAACATTAATTTATTTAAACAAAACATTGTTTCATCATCTGGTAAGAGAATGTACGTACATACTCAACGGTATTACCTTATACGTTATATGTATATCGCATAAATTGGTCGCGTGCGCAACCTTCACCTCTAAATAAAAATAAATGCCCCCAGGCAAGTCTCATGTCACCAGCGATATGTTCGTACTAAAGGCGTTCATATAGATTGGTATAAAAAGTGCACCAGTTCACATATTGTCACAGTCAAGTATTGCACTTCAATACAGCAACACCAATCTAACAATGGTCTCCAAAGTAAGTTAGAGTCCTCTAAAATACCATTCTATCAAATATTTTACCTTCCTTTACTACAAATAATTTACCTCATTACAGTTCGTCATCGTTCTCTCCCTCGCCGTGGCAGCCTACGCCGTGCCCCTTGTTCCCGTCAGCAAGGTAGTGTACGCCGAGCCTGAGGCGCCCGCTCACTACGAGTTCTCATACTCCGTGCACGATGACCACAGCGGTGACGTGAAGCAGCAGCAGGAGGCGCGTCAAGGCGACGCCGTGCACGGCTCGTACTCTCTCGTGCAGCCCGACGGTGTGCACCGCATCGTCGAGTACACCGCCGACAAGGAGCACGGATTCAACGCCAACGTGCGCTACGAGGGCACCCCCGTCCACGCTGAACCCGCCAAGATCGCCTACGCCGCTCCCGTAGCCAAGATCGCCTACGCTGCTCCCGTTGCCAAGGTCGCTTACGCTGCTCCCGTTGCCAAAGTAGCCTACGCCCCAGCCCCAGTCTCTTACTCCCACGCTCCAGTCTACGCCGCCCCCGTCGCCAAGGTCGCCTACGCCGCCCCCGTCGCCAAAGTTGCGTACGCTGCCCCCGTAGCGCACGTCACTTACTCTTCTCCTGCTATCTCCTACCACCACTAGACCAATGCATTGTAACATTTGTTGAATTTAATAGGTATTATTAAATTATTATTTATTGACCTTATCTTTTATGTTTATTTTTTGACCTTTTCCTTTTTAACTTTTGTGAACTATATTTCAAGCGAAAGCTGTGAATGGTATCTTAATATAAAAAATACTTTAACTTTAGTCGGTGTTTATGGGAGGTGAAACGAGCTGATTGATCACGTGACGGTTAACAACCGCCACCGCCCTGGGCACACGCAATACCAGATGAGTGACAAGAGCGTTGCCGGCCTCTTTAGGATATACATTACAGAATTGGAAGATTTATAGATAAACTACGAGGCGAAGACCGGATCTTCAGTAAACTTAGAAGCAGTTTTAAAGCGCAAGCATTGTTTCATGACTTTGGGGCCGTGGAATGACTCCAGTTGAACCAGCCCATTAGAGCTAAAGCAAGCAAGCACAAGTTCGCTCATAATATATAGGTATAGGGATATCAACAAGGAAAATTATAGTAATAGATACCCATGGGATACATATTAGTATTCATGTACATTATATCATATTTAACGTAATAATCGAATACTTATATATCGTTAACTATTCCCCTTTATATTATAGGTAGGTAAATAGAATAAAGATATAAAACTTTAAATTATAAAACTGTGCTTTTTTATCGTCACTCACTTTTTTATCGTGGATTCTACATAAAATAAAAATTACACCTAGAATCCAAACCAGACCAAAGTTTAGAATAATACTACTCTCATTGACCTTTTACCCACTACTTATTAGACAGAAATAATTATTGTCTCTACAACGTGCATCCTTCAAATAAAGTGTAAAAAATGATAAGTAGGTATATTTAGAAAAAAAATGTAGGTATGAAATTACATTTCATAAGACCCGAGTATAATACCTATACCTAGTCTAGCCATAAATACTGTAACTAATACAAAAAAATATTTTTTCTATTGCAAACAACATTTATTACTTTTACAGTATGTAAGTTTAATACATAAATATAAAACAATTTAAAACATAAAAAGCTTATTCGAAGTGGTCTCCATTGGCTGCAATACAGTCTTTTCTTCCTTTCCTTAAACGTTGAAGCCAGTTATCAATAGAAGCACGCACTCTTTCCATGGGAAAATTCTTCACTGCCAATCGTATGGATTGTTTTAGGGAGTCCAAATTATCATGACGTTTAGAGCGGATTAAGATCGGGACTAGACGACGGCCAGTCTTCAGCTCTGATGAAGTCGGGAACGTTCGTTTCCAACCAAGACAGCGTGGACCGAGCTTTATGACCCAGCGCCAAGTCTTGCTGGAAGGGCTTAACTACCTTCTCAAGAATGGTATTTTGATACACTTGTGCCGATGTTTTGATACCTTTTTCGCAAAAGTATGGCTCAGTCACTCCTTCATAAAACTAACACCCCACCAAACCATCACTGATGTCGGATAATGCCCACGTTGCACTCTGTCGACTAATTGAGAAGCTTCCTTAGAGCTTTGAGCATAAATACGGTCATTTTGTTTGTTAAAATGTTGCTCAATTGTAAAAATTTTCTCATCCGTAAACAAATTTTTTCTGTGACCTCCCTTTGCGTACCGCTTCAGTAGTTGTTTAGATTTTATCACCCTATTCTTTTTTAAATTATCATTTAAAAAATGTTGACGTCGACATTTTCAATAAATGTTGTATGTGTCATGATTGTTAATTTAAAAAATCTGTTCGTAGTTCATAGAAACTCGCTTTTTTATTCATTTATATATATACATAGTGATCGGGACTCGAGAGCGCAACCAGCGCGACATATGTATACCTCCGGTACTTTCCTAGAATATGTATGTAATACATTTAGTTATTTTCACGAAAATCCGTAAATACCTTATCTCAGTGATTTTTCATATAAAAAAGCTTAAATAATTTTTTTTATTTACAAACCGAATTAATAAACACTCTCTTCAACTGAATACAAAGAAAAGAGAACAGTGATTCAGCTACGTATTAAATAAGAGATAACTACGAAAACAGTACTAGCATGAATTTTATTTATTATTTATTGATTTATTTATTTATTTATTTGAAAAATACACAATAAACGAAATAAATAAAGTGTGGGAAAGCCATGCTTCGGCACGAATGGGCCGGCTCGACCGGAGTGATACCACGGCCTCACAGAAAACCGGCGTGAAACAACCACAGCGTTGTGTTTCGCCGTGTGAGTGAGGTTACCGGAGGCCCAATCCTTCCCCTTCCCCAATCCCTAAATTTCGAAATCCCTAATACCTAAAAGGTCGGCAACGCACTCGTAACTCCTCCGTTGCGGGTGTCCATGGGCGGCGTTGATTGCTTACCATCAGGTAATCCGTCTGCTCGTTTGCCGACTTATTACATAAAAAAAAAAAAAACAACACTCTTGTTTTATGAAATAGGTCGGCAAACGAGCAGACCGATTACTGATGGTAAGCATGTGGCGCCACCCATGGACACCCATAACACTAAGGGAGTTACGAGTGAGTTGCCAGCCTTTTGGAGATAAGGGTTTCGGATATTTAGGGACTGGCAAGACCTCACTCACACGCGAAACACAAGGTTGCGGTTGTTTCACGCCGGTTTTTAGTTTAGTTAGTGAGGCGCGAGGAGTGATACCACGATCACTCCGGTCGAGTCGACCCTCTCCCACTCTTTATTATAAAATACTTTGATAGGATTTGCCATTACCACAGTCAAGGTTCAACTAAATTGATATGATGACTGATACAGATGAGCACGACGAGCTAAATCAATGTAACAAACTTTAATAATTTCAAATTATTGTGTATCACTTTTACTAAGAAAGTATATAATAAGTATTCTCACCGAGTCAGCTTCTAATGTTGTATAAAGCTCAGGTCCGATCGTGTGTGGAGTACTGCAGCCACATATGGGCTGGTGCTGCGAAATGCCACCTAGCGGCTTTGGATTCGGTGGAAAGGCGTGCAAAGAGGCTGATTGGAGATCCAGATTTGGTTGGGTCCAATATTCAAAGTCTCGAGCACAGGCGCAGAGTAGCCAGCCTTGCGGTTTTCTACAGGATACATTTTGGAGAGTGTGCCCAGGAATTGCACGATTTGATTCCGCCATCCCAATTTCACCTTCGGACATCCCAGCGTACGGCGAATATCCACCCCAACGTTGTTGAGACACCTTTTTTTTTTGTCAGGGGAAAATCATCCAATGACTTCTCCCGCCCAGGGTAAGGCGAGAGAGAGTGTCAGACTCTTACTGACTAAAAACCCCCCCGTTCCTTCTCCTGCTCTGGGCCGAGGTCGCGGTGCCTCATTGCGCTTACCCCGCAGCCCCGGCGTTGTTGAGACACCTGCGGCCCGGACTAAGCGTTTTGCCTCGTCATTTATACCGCGTACATCGAGGGATTGGAACAGTTTGCCGGCTGCAGCCTTTCCGTCCGAATACAACTTAGGTGTCTTCAAGGCTAGAGTGAATAGGCTCTTAATAAACTAGTGCACCTTACCATCAACGATTGCATCACTGCTTAACATCAGGTGGGATCGCAGTCAAGCACTGGTTTATTGCAAGTAAAAAAAAAAAAATACAATGCATGGATAGACATTGAATGCTTTTAATTAAATGACCATGACCTTAACCTGAATTCATACAAAATACATATGATACTTTTACTTTGTGGAAATTTGAACCTTAAGCACAAGGTGGACTATGTATATATGGAAAACTGTAGAAGACTTCGTTATTATCAATGACCCATGACTATCCTTTGACTTAAAGATCCTCAAATAATCTCTACTCCTCGCGGGATGGAGGGAGCATTTTCGTTTAGTATTAAGTAAAATAAATAAATACAGCTAATAATATAGAGAAGAAATCTCACTTGTTGGATTTGAGGTTTAATGGGAATTATTAAAAAAAAATAGACCAGACAGTTAACCTTACTATTTAAAAAGCAAAATTGCATTATGAGCGCCATATAATTCAATGACTTGGAATTGTTATTTTACACTTTTCCCATAATGCATAATATTGCTTGGCAGGTGGTTGGTATACGTCGTGAAGTTCGGGTTAGTAATGCGGCGCGGCATGTTGACCTTCACCTCGCAGTCTACACAAGGAATGCCGCGGGCGCAGCGTGTGTCACCTACAAGACCTATAGGTGACAATTCTGTATAAAACTGTAGCATATCACGAACATTGTCACAGTCTACTACTGACACCTAACTCACCAACACAACAAACTGAGAAAATGGTCGCCAAAGTAAGTTATTGAAATATCACTTATGATAAATGAAACACTAACTTTAATTTTAATGTAAAATGCAAAAATAAAAAGGCATTAATTAATATGTACAATTTCAGTTCGTCATCGTTCTGTCCCTCGCCGTGGCGGCGTACGCCGTGCCCCTTGTCCCCGTCAGAAAGGTGGTGTACGCCGAGCCTGAGGCGCCCGCTCACTACGAGTTCTCATACTCCGTACACGATGACCAGAGCGGTGACGTGAAGCAGCAGCAGGAGGCGCGTCAAGGCGACGCCGTGCACGGCTCGTACTCTCTCGTGCAGCCCGACGGTGTGCACCGCATCGTCGAGTACACCGCCGACAAGGAGCACGGATTCAACGCCAACGTGCGCTACGAGGGCACCCCCGTCCACGCTGAACCCGCCAAGATTGCCTACGCCGCTCCCGTAGCCAAGATCGCCTACGCTGCTCCCGTCGCCAAGGTCGCCTACGCTGCTCCCGTCGCCAAGGTCGCCTACGCCGCCCCCGTCGCCAAGGTCGCCTACGCTGCTCCCGTCGCCAAGGTCGCCTACGCTGCTCCCGTAGCGCACGTCACTTACTCCTCTCCTGCTATCTCTTACCACCACTAGACCAATGCATTGTTACATTTGTTGAATTTAATAGGTATTATTAAATTATTATTTATTGACCTGATCTTTCAGTTTTTTTTCGGCATTTTTCCTTATAATTTTTATATAAAAAAACTGTTTGTTTCATATTACAATCTGAATGATTAAATTGAGGATATAGATGCTTGGAGCCATGATGGTCCTGCTCCACAGGATAGTATATAATAGATATCAATATACTACACGAAAATATATAATAATGTTCCAGTGGATTTTTTCTTAAACGGAAATTTTCAAATTTAGTAAAATGCAACCAACCATGTCAAACCTGGTTGTAAATGTGAGTGCCCTATAACCTATTACAACTGGTTAGACTAGCAGAATGTCGGTCCTTATGTCAGCTTGGAGTTGTTATCCTCACTCAAGGGTCACATTGGCACAGTGGCTCGGGCACTGGATCGCTCAACTCCCTATAATATGGTTGAGTTTGGCGATGCTAGTGTACGTGTCATGTTCGTGAACGGATGCCATCAATTGGGACTGGTCAGCTCCCGAACTGTCTATTGTTCTTAAGGTTATTTCCTTATATGTTTATCTGTATACGACAATGTTCTCACACAATCAAACCAACTAAATAGTGTACCAAATAATCTTTGTGTAAAACTGATTTAAAAAGAGTTTCTTGCTCGTTTTTCTCTATCGGAAACTACACTTTGGAGAGAGCAAATGCTTTACTAAGAGGACCAAACGAAAGACTGACACTTTATTTCTCTAATTGAAATAAATGATTTTGAATCCGACTTTGATTTTAGATACAAAAGCTTTGATTCGTATCGTAAAATAAAAAATATTAAATATTTTGTAAGTTTTTATGGTACAAGGCGGCAAACGACCAGACGGATCAACCGGTTAGCAAACGGCACTGACTCACGCAAAAGTTACTTACTAGTGCGTTGTCAGCCTTATCAGAATAGAGATTAGAGTATGAGAGTTTTTGGAGATACATCAAGGTAGGGAAAATGAGCCGACGGTTATTTTTATTAATTCGTATCTTCTTTATGTAGGTTTTAACTGTACACTACACTACCCATGACCAAGTTTATACATTTCCATCTAAAGGTTCTCTGAAAGAAATCACCTTGTGTGATAAGACCGCCCATTGTAATCACAACATTCGTTCATAGTATCCAATGTATTGCTACTTGGTGTATGTGTGCAATAAAGTATATATAAATGAATATAAAATAAATAAGCGTTCTTTTTCGCTTATGAGGCCGTGATAGGCCTCTGGTCGAGTGGGGCTCATTCCTGTTAAAGTAAAGCTCTCTCAAACTGTTCGGGACATGAATACTGTACATTATACTAATAGATAATATGTCTACGGGATATCCATTATTATTCTGGAACATTATAATGTCCCATGTAACTTGACACTTGTACATTTATCCCCATATATCTGTAAGCCGCCAAAACGAGGACGCTGCGAGAAGTGGAGAAGAAGAAGGTAAACGCCCTAGCGATCCAGTGCTAGAGATGAATGCTCGGTGTATCGTGGACAAAGTTCTGCACGAATGTCTCGATACTCCATCGTCATCGTATATGTCTTACCATATACATAATCGCCCATCCCCATGTTCTTCAGACCCGTTTTGAGGAGAAACAACCGATCTATAGAGCGGCTTATTATTCAGGGCAAAGCTGGTAGGTCGGTAAATATTCCGCCATCCCCATTTCACCTTCGGACATCCCGGCGTACGGCAAATATCCACCCTTACGTTGTTGAGACACTTGCGGCCCGGACTTAGCGCTTTGCCTCGTCATTTATACCGCGTACATCGAGGGATTGGAACAGTTTGCCGGCTGCAGTCTTTCCGTCCAAATATAATTTAGGTATCTTCAAGGCTAGAGTGAATAGGCTCTTAATAAACTAGTGCGCCTTACCATCAACGATTGCATCACTGCTTACCATCAGGTAGGATCGCAGTCAAGCACAAGTTTATAGCAAGTAAAAAAAAAAAAAATGTGCCGCAGGTTTACGGTCCGCTGCCAATGCGAGCACCAGGTGTATAGGTTGAGGGTGCCGGCTGCTTTGTGCTGTTTGTGCACCACGCCGCAAAGCCGATATACTGGATATACTAGGCGCCGTAGGTTCCGCATTCGCATTCAGGACGCTGAGGCTAGAGAAGCCGAGGTATACGAGGAGTGCAGGGTGGCGGAGCCTAGCTTCAGGATGAAGATTCGGTGGGCCAAAAAAAATGTATAATAACTGTAAAGATGCAGACATCAGGCATCATTTCGATGTGGTCTACAATAGCACGTCCAGATCGAGATGTCAAACTTTAATAACATTCAAATAATTTTGTATCACTTTTACTTTAAAAAGCTGACATGTTATTTTATGTTTTGTTTATTTACTTGTACGGGTTAGTTATTTAAGTTTAACCTTTTTTAAAATTGAGTTTTTTACTCGTCCTTGTAAACATAAACTCTAGAACGAACAAATAGCTTTACAAAAGGACAGACCCACAAAATGAAACTTTTTGATATTTAATTTGGTTGAAAAGTGCCTTTAATGGTCTATTTTAATGGAAATAAATAATTTTATAATTTTCCTATCATATGTAGTATTGATTGGTTGGTTTATGTCGTGAAGTTCGGGTTAGTAATGCGGCGCGGCATGTTGACCTTCACCTCGCAGTCTACACAAGGAATGCCGCGGGCGCAGCGTGTGTCACCTACAAGACCTATAGGTGACAATTCTGTATAAAACTGTAGCATATCACGAACATTGTCACAGTCTACTACTGACACCTAACTCACCAACACAACAAACTGAGAAAATGGTCGCCAAAGTAAGTTATTGAAATATCACTTATGATAAGCTGAAACACTAACTTTAATTTTAATAGGTGAAAGTTTATTGAAAATGAAGGCATTAATTAATTTTTACAATTTCAGTTCGTCATCGTTCTCTCCCTCGCCGTGGCGGCCTACGCCGTGCCCCTTGTCCCAGTCAGCAAGGTGGTGTACGCCGAGCCTGAGGCGCCCGCTCACTACGAGTTCTCATACTCCGTGCACGATGACCACAGCGGTGACGTGAAGCAGCAGCAGGAGGCGCGTCAAGGCGACGCCGTGCACGGCTCGTACTCTCTCGTGCAGCCCGACGGTGTGCACCGCATCGTCGAGTACACCGCCGACAAGGAGCACGGATTCAACGCCAACGTGCGCTACGAGGGCACCCCCGTCCACGCTGAACCCGGCAAGATCGCCTACGCCGCCCCCGTTGCCAAGGTCGCCTACGCTGCTCCCGTTGCCAAAGTAGCCTACGCCCCAGCCCCAGTCTCTTACTCCCACGCTCCAGTCTACGCCGCCCCCGTCGCCAAGGTCGCCTACGCCGCCCCTGTCGCCAAGGTTGCCTACGCTACCCCCGTAGCACACGTCACTTATTCCTCTCCTGCTATCTCCTACCACCACTAGACCACTAGACTGCCATATTTATTGAAATGAATAGGTACTAATAAATTATTATTCAACCTTACGAGACACTTGTTATTTTTGAACTGCCCATTGAATCAAACTGATCCTTATGTTTGTATGACATAAAATAATAAATATTCACTATTTAGTGATGAACATTCACCCAGAGACCCTTATTGATTTAAATAAGTGTAATTTAGTTTTGGTTATACCAGCAGTGTGATTCTGTAAGACTTCATTCTAAACTTCGAATCTGAATCCGCCGTGAGTAGTAGTACACTAGCGCTACAATTGTAAGTGTGGGACAGCCATGCTTCGGCACGAATGGGTCGGCTCGACCAGAGTGATACCACGGCCTCACAGAAAACCGGCGTGAAACAACCACAGCGGTGTGTTTCGCCGTGTGAGTGAGGTTACCGGAGGCCCAATCTTTCCCCACCCCCAATCCCTCCTCAATCCTTAATTCTCCAAATCCCTAATCCCTTAAAGGTCGGCAACGCACTCGTAACTCCTCCGTTGCGAGTGTCCATAGGCGGCGCTGATTACTTACCATCAGGTAATCCGTCTGCTCGTTTGCCGATCTATTAAATTAAAAAAAAAACTTGCGAGTTGAACTAAATTGACAGCATCATTTTGAAAGACAAAGTATGAAATGACGTTAAAAGTGGCATTCTAAAATTTAATTTACCCGTCATTTCGACGCTCACTTCGCACTCGAACACGATTCAAAATCAAACAAATTTTATAGAATCGACGTGCTGGCATACTTTACCACCTCTTTCGTGCTGAAAAGTGATATTAACACGAGTAAGCTTAAGCCCAAAATAAAGATGCATTACAATAGTTTTTTACGAATCTAATTAACTTTAATCGAACATAAATATTGGCTATTCATAGATCTATTTTATTATCTACCAACAATTAATAGTAAGTACTCACCGATAATTTCTATTTTTCGGCATTGCAATTATATTACTCCATTCTTCTGCTGGAGTTTACATCGACAATCTGCACTGTAGTAGCTGTAACATATTCTTGGATTCAAGGAGAACGAGAGATTTGCTGAGCCATCCGTCACTAAATCGCACATTGTCAACTGAAAATACCTTTAATTATATAATAAAAAAGAAAAATATTTGGACATTCCACAGAATTCATATTAATTAACCAAAATGTTAATGACTTAATAAGTATAATTATAAGATTGGGAGAGCCAAACTTCGAGATGGATGGATCGGCTCAACCGGAGTGATACCACGGCACGACCTCGCAAAAAACGGGCGTGAAACAACCAGAGTGTTTTGTTTCGCCATGTGAGTGAGGTAACCGCAAGCCCAAACCCTAACTCTTGTTTTTTATGACTGACTGCCAACACCTTATGATATTTTATTATTATGTTTGAGGTTCAAAAGTAATATTGATATTTTTATAATAACTATCGTGAGACATACTAAATTAACTAAAAATCGCGGGTAGGCTGCGCGACGTCGCCGCGTCCGCGCACGCTGCTCATGAGGAAGAACCCCTCTGTGGTTCGAAACTAGTAGAGCTTTTCTCAAGATAGACACGTGAGTAACCCGCGATTTTTAG